GTGGGTTGGGAGGTACCAAACCTTAGGATGAAACAAGGTTTTTTGTTTTGGGTTTTTTTTTGTTTTGGGTTTTTGTTGTTGTTTGTTTTTTTTTTTTTTTTGAGATGACCTCAGTGTTCTGAGTCAGAATTAGAGGAGGGGTATGCACATGCACGTGTGTAAATGCTAACCTGCAACACTAGTGGAGGCACTCACTCAGGAGTACTTATGGGCCCCACACTTCCACAAGGAAAGGGCAAAAGAGGAACAGAGCCTGTTTCCAATGCTATCAACAGCATCATAGTTAACATTTTGAAAATATATTGAAAGTTTGACATCTTTAATCTCAACACTTGGGAGGCAGAGGCAGGTGGATTTCTGAGTTCAAAGCCAACCTGATCCATAAAGCAAGTTCCAGGACACCTGAAACTACTACATACACCGAGAAACCCTGTTTCAGAAAAATCAAAAAAGTGTTTTAGAAAATGATAAAAATCAATCAAAAATGATTCTGTGATTCCAAGGTCTGTCCTTTGCCTTTGTCCTTATGAGAATGGAATGTGGGATATAGGCGGGAACAGGGGACAGCAGCAATGTGACTGTCCTTGGGTATCTTTGGGGCTGTTTTGAATCCACATTGCCTTATACAACTAGCATAGCCCTTTGAAGTGCCCCAGCTCCAGTGACCAGAGGCTGAAACCACAAACATGAGTGAGCATTCCTCAAAGTTATCTTTAAAAAAATTCACAACATACTTCCCAGCCACAGACTATGTCCAATTTCTCATGGGACTCTGCCTGACTTCAAAGGTTCTTCTCTGTCACAAGCTGTGAGGCACAGTACTAAGAAAGTCCCCAGGGACAAAACCAAGAGCCCAAAGTAACATGCGAGCCTGAAACTTCTTTTTCACTGCCCAGGTACAATTCAACAACAGGTCTCTGTATTTGGCACACTTGGCCAAAAGTCTGACTGCTGCGGGGTATTTGTACAATGTGTGAAAGCATATTGCTGTGACTGGTGTGATAAAAAGATGAACGACCAATAGCTAGGCAGGAGGTAGAGGCAGGACTTTCAGGCGGAGGGAAAGAAAGAGGAGATGAATTTAGACAGACAGGAGACATGGAGAGCAAACAGAAGGTGCCAGATGGAAGAGCGGTAATGTCACATGATAGAACGTGAATTGATATAAATGGGTTAGCTTAAGTTATATGTTCTAGTGAGATTAAACTAAGGCTGAGCTTTCATAGTAAGTCTCCATGTCATTGTGAAGCAGCAGCCCAAAGAAAAATCCAACTCCATCTGTCCAATTCACACAACATGTCTCTGTCTAGAGGCATCCAGCCACCCTCATTCTGCTGGGGCTCAACTGCTCCAGAGGACATGGAGCTGTGGAGATGGCTAACAAGGCACCTGAAGTTGCTCAGCTGGAGACAGGTACTTGAGAGATGTTTACACACTATCTCTCCTGGGTAGCTGCTCCAGGTACCAGCTGTCAATGTCAACAGCCCACAGAGAGGAAGCTCAAGAGGCAGTGGCTCACATCAGAGCTCAGGCCTGTGGGCAAAGTGACTATCAAGACCAAAGCCAAAGCCAGCCCCTAGGGAACTTCTCAAGGCAGCCACTAGTTTACTGGTCTCAAGAAGTCCTCATGAACTCAACAAGGTCACTGTCTACCACTGTCAATGTGCCCATCCACTGCACTGCAACCTTCAATGCTATGGCTCTTAGCATTTAAGGACTTTTATTTTCCAGAATCTTCTGACAACCCACACAAATAAATTAAAGACATCACTATACTGACATTGTGAAAATTGAAATCTGACAAGAAGTTAGTACTGTATCAACACATTTGTCACACCCACAGACCCCACTCTGGGGCCCTACCCTGTTGTAACTCCCTGCATGAGGGGCCTAGATTTCCCTGACCCTGCTTTGCCTTCAACCCAAAGTTCCACCAGTAATTCCATCAGGCCATAAAAACTCTATCCAGACCATTCCAAATGGTACTATCCCGAACATGCTCACAGCTACAAAGACAGGAGCATGGAGAGCAGTTTGTCACCCACCTTCCAATGGTACCTTTGGCTTCACCTGAGAAGAAAGAAGTCACCAGTTTCAAACAGCTTAAATAATCTGCCAGTCTCCCAGAGCCAACTCTCAACAAAAACCATGAGAAACAAAGGTACAATGCAGTGAACAGCCAAAGGCTCAGGCTCAGTCCCATACCTTACTCCAAACAAGCTTTCCCATGGTTGCAGCTAGAACTAGTGAGCATATTAAATCTAACTCTAATATACATGGCAGTCAACTTCCTCCTGAAACCTAAGGCCACATAAAGGATGGGAAGCCATTACAAGAAGACACACTGGCCAGAAGCTGGAGGGAGACTTGTGCATTAGCCTATGTGTATGGGTGCTGCAGTCTGAGGGTAAACTCAGAGCACTCAGCCACACCCAGAGAAGCCTGATGTACTTGGGAACCAAGATAAAGCACAGCTTCGAGAACCTAGCCAAAGGCCCTCCAAGTCATGTTTTAAAAGATTCTGCTGCAATTTACATTTCAGTATCCAGGGAATCCCTTGCCTCCTTCCTCTACTGACCAGAGATGCTGAATTCCTGTCATTGCAGCATTGGTCTAGAAACCTGAAGTGGGAAGTACAATTGGCAAATAGCGATGACCACTAGGGCTAGAATGGCCAAGAGCAGCAGAGAGCCTCTAGGCTGGAGACTGACAATAACTGTGCTTGTCCAAAGTGGTTGTACACACTGGGAGCAGCTGTACACCGGTCCCCTAGAGGCCAAGTTCACGTGGATCTGACCTCACTGACACTGAATTTCTGCTGCTCAAGTCCTCCTGTGACAGACACAATCATCCTGTTGTCCTGCTGCAGCCTTGATGCAACAAGCTCCGCTATCTTCCCATACCAAACTGACAAAATGATGATGAATTTATGAATTTAAAAAAAGTTTGTCACAGTTGGATGGTGGTGGCACACACCTTTAATCTCAGCACTCAAGAGGCAGAAACAGGCATGTCTCTATGAATTTGAGGCCAGTCTACAGAGCAAGTTCCAGTACAGCCAGAGTTAAAGGAGAGACCCTATCTTGAAAAAACAAAAGTCAGTCATATAAATGTCTCCAGAGCTTTTACAACTGAGGATGATGTCCTACTCAACACCCTTTCTACATACAGCACATGCAGTTAGTGTTCAGTAAAACATTCGGGCATTCACAACAGGAGGAAGGAAGATCTAAGACCAATTCAGGATAAAGAATCTAAGATTCACAGTCACCATCCTCTTATGGGCCCAGGAAGAGGACAGGTGACAGGGATAACTAACTGTCCCCAGCATAGGACTGGTGACTTTAGCTCCACTGAGGACATCACGGTAAATGGAGCATGTGTGCCTTCTGACCCATAAATGAAGCCATTCTGAGTAAGGTTACTGAACAGACTTGAGAAGTGGCCAGACGATAAAATAAGGACAGAATCTTTACAAGCGGAAAGCAAAGACAACTGGCTGATGGGCCTGCAGAAAACAGACTTTCATCAGAAAGAAGGCAAGCTGCCTGCGGAAGACAAGAGGATGCCAGCTGTGTCCTTTGAGGTGTGGTCCTACATACACTGACCCTGGGAAGCAGGGGATAGAAAGAAAGTATGGGGTTTACATGAGGAAAGAATCAGGGATGTACAAGTTACTTCTCTGATGGGGATGTTACACTCCTCAGTGTGAAAAGTGACCAGCATTGCAGTTTCTTGCAGGGGGGCTGCTTAGAGCAGAGGGGGTAATGAATCATGGCTGGCAGCAGTGAAAAGCTTCTGAGGCACTAGAGACAGAGGCAGAACCAGAATTGTCAGCCTTGGAAGCCCAGACAGCGGTTCTTTCATAGCCTTACTGCCCCGAATAGAAGCCTGCGACTGTGACCTGAGCTGCCATACCTGGGGCTAGACATTGGGCTCTCTACCCTCAGGTTAAGTAGACAAGGCCAAGGATCAAGCAGGCACTTCTGCCTACAATCGAGCACGAGCATCTTACTCACACTGTGAAAAGCCTGCTGTATTTTTTTTTAATTCCAAGTGGAACTTTATTCATGATAGAAACAGTGGGAAACTGAGGTAACAGGCTTTGCTTTCCTTATCTATGAAAAGGTGCATCGTTCCCATGGGGAAATGCCAACATAACAAACATAAACCACAATGTCATAAAAAGCAAAGAGAGGAGCCAACAACAAGGCTAAAACGCCCCAAGAAGAAGGCTATGAGAACCAACTTCCGCTACTTGTTCCCAATTGCACAAGCTTGGCAGTAATGACTAGGTTCTTTCACTCTGACTCTTTCCCAAAGTGGGTGGCACAGGGAAGAGACATGGGTCTTCCAGCACAGAGAGTTTTGAAAAACAAGGAACAGAGCCCCCTGCATGGTGAGTGAGCCCTGTGTGTCTCCATAACTTCTTAAGCTTTATTATACAAACAGGAGCCTGTTCTGACTATTCACAGTGATCCAGAACTAAAACCAACCAACCAACCTTCCCAAAAACTCCTTAAAGGTCACAGAAGTGCAAATCCTCACTGCCACCCCAGCTTCCCTCCACCCTGTAGCACTTCCCTCCTGGGGACCCATAGCCTGGGACACTTCACTAAGCACAAAAGTTCTTCCAGGTATATCCAATAAGAACTGCTCTCCTTGTCTCAGAAGCACAGGAAGGTGTTTACATTTGACAGCAAGAAAAAGAAGCATGCCTACCTTGTCCTACCTGTGCAAATGTCATCAGATTTTCAAGGGAAGTTGCAGAAAGCAATGAACTTGGGGGGAGTTTCTTCTCTGGTACAAAAACTAATATGAGAGCCCACAAAACAATACAGGCCAGAGCCCCACCTGTGCACACCCCTGGACAGTTCATCCCAGCTCCCTCCTACTGGAGGCAACCCCACCCCCACCCCACACCAGTGTCTCATGCTGAGGAATATAGACTGTGTGCAGGCCATAGTGAGAAGGATGGATGGGGATAGGTGAGCACTTACCTGTCCATCCTGGCCAACATGATGGATCTGCAGATTGCCCTGCACAGTGGAAAGAGGGAGACAGAGTGAGAACTTCCCTATACTATTCAGAAAAAAACAAACAAACAGGAAACCACTAATTCTACAAAAATCTAACCCCTTTTAGCAATAAAACCCACAAAAATAAAACAAGCTGAATCTTTTTTCTCTCTCTTGTATTAAAAGCACAAAACTTGGCCGGGCGGTGGTGGCACACGCCTTTAATCCTAGCACTCGGGAGGCAGAGGCAGGCGGATCTCTGTGAATTCGAGGCCAGGCTGGACCGACAGCCTCCAAAACAATACAGAGAAACCCTGTCTCGTAAAACAAAAAAAAAGCACAAAACTTTAAACCTGTTCCCTCAACTCTTGACCCACAAATGAAAATATCTTTCCTTTCCCTTTTTAAACAATTGTAGATTCACAAGGCATGTACAAGCATGCCCCATAATAGGTAGGAAGCTACTCTCACCACTCTGAGTCTACAGTGTCTCTTCACAGATCTCATTTTACAACACTGTCGATTGTAAAAGACAGTAGAAAAACATCCCAGTCACCAGTCACCCCACTGAGCCAGGCAGACTCTCTCCTAGAGAATAGCATTGGTTCCACACACTGAATATATGACTGTGTTGCCTTGTGACCTCACAGGGTGACACCCGACTCACCTCACTATCCTGTGTGATCTGCACCTGCTCCCCTTGAGGCACCTGGGCAATGTGGAGGTGGCCCTGTGGGATCCGCAGCAAGAGAGGACACCAAGAAGCATCAGAGAAAAACAAACCAAAGGAAACAACAAGCACCCTCTGCCAATTTCATGCCTTATCTGCTCTCAGCCCGAGAGGCCAGGGTCTGGCCAGCTTGGTGCAATATGTGCACAACCTAAGCTCATCCCACAGCCTCTTAAGTAAATGTTCCATCACAGGATTTATGTGATATGGTGAATTTTTAAATGTTACTTAACAACTAAGAATGTGCAATCACTGGGGGACCACTGGAAAAGGTGGCATGGGAGGAGTCACTTGTGTGCACTGCACTGAAGTGGAAACACTTCATGTAAACAACTCATGTAAGCACTAATAAACGTGGCTCCACAGAAGCCCAGGGTCTGACTCCTATCAAAATCCTATCTGGGGCTGGAGACATGGCTGAGGTTAAGAGTACTTGTTCTTGCAGAAAACCTGTACAGTTCCCAGCACCCATGTGGGGCAGTTCACAATACCCCATAACTCGAGCTCCAAGGGATCTGAAGCCCTCTTCTGTCCTCTGTGGACACCTGCCCTCACATGCACAAACCCCACACACAGACACACATGCATATGCATAACTAAAAATAAAAATAAATCTTTTTATTTTTAAATCCTATCTTACATCGAACAATCTGCTGCAGGTGTTGGGCTGCTTCTGATTCACTGTGCACATAACCCTGTGCCAAAGGAATCTATCTCCAGTGCTTTCCAGCACTTCCCCACTACCCAGACGAGACTGCCTGTGTACACAAATCCCGTGAAGCACACCACTTACAGTCACTATGTTTCCTTTAAAACAGCCCCACAGCCAGTAGACAAAAGCCACCAGGGAGGCGAGCAGAAACTGATTCCCTCACACAGGCTGCACACATATGGGTGACCTCAACAATTATACAAGAATAAGAGATGAACTGTAGGGACCAGTGAATGGTTCTCCAAGGGTTTCTATCACTAGGTTGTTCAGAGCAGCAAACAGCCATGTGAAGGCTGTCATACCACTTCTCTAAACAGAGCGCTAACCCTCACCTCAAACTATCAGTGCGTTTGCTCTTCCTGTGCCATCGACACCCCCCAGCCTCCTCCCCCACCTCCCCGGCATGTGAGTGGGAAGGAACGTACTACTTGCACCTGTCCATCCTCTCCAATCTGGTGGATCTGCACTTGCTGTGCATTGGCCAATGCGTAGTGTAGAGCCTGTGGCTGCGACTGCTGTAGCTCACTGGCAGGTGGAGGGGTACCCATCATAGTCTCTGTGGAACACAGGAGCAAGTGTTAGGATCCTCAGGTCCCACATACAGAGTTACAGTCACCTCAGTCCCCCCGCCCCCAACTCCTGATGAAGAGGAAAGGAACCTTTTTCCTAGACTCAGGTGAGCACATCTCTGCTCTGCAGAGCTGTTAACAGCAAGTCATGGGAAATTGAGATTTGTGACAGAGGCCAGCATTGTTCAGATTCAATGATCCTGTTGCAACAAACTCTTTCCTGCAAACACCTAGACAAACTACTGCAGGTCTGTCCACAATATGACCCACAGGGCTATGCTGCAGTCAAACTACATCTGCCACATATTTCATTTCCTAGGTTTATTAAAGTAAGATACATGTAGGTTGATATGTAGTATGGTAATTTTAACTGTAATACAAACTATAATGAATTTTCTTACAGTACTAGAGACTGAGTCTAAGGACTCCAGCATGTTAGACGTGTTCAGACACTGAGCACATCTCAGCCTCCAACTGTAATGATATCACAAGCAGAATTTTCTGAAACAGGATATTAGGGCTTGGATTTTTTTCTTTCAATTTTCAATGTATATTATTAAATTCCATGGCAGAGTTGTGGTAACTGGTCAACAAACCTGTTGGGAAAACACTGTCATGCTCTGAACCTTAAGAAAGTGGGCTGTCATTACATGTGGAAGAAGAAACACAGAGGGCTCTAAGAAAAAGCTCCATGTCCTTTCCACCACAGCATCAGAGTGCCATGTGCTTTCAAAAGCACCAGAACAACAATTAACCCTGTGGATTCACACACATGTACAGGCAGAAGATGGACGAGCTGGGCCCTCTGCTGCTCTAAACGACTGCACAGATGCTGCTTCCTATGCCCAGTACACTAAAGCCCAGCATGTATGTTTACACAGTGCTGACTCTCAGAAGTTTACATGAAACTATGATTCTGAGGTTTATATCCGAACTGACAGGGACTAATCCATCATTAAATAAACTAGTTTTGCTGGGCATGGTGGCACACCTGTAACCCAAGTACTCAAGAGGCCGAGGAGGAGGATCACAAGCTAGAGGTCAGCCTGGGTTACACTCAAGACCTTGTCTCAATAAAATAACCAAGGGATGAAGACATAGCTCAACAGCAGAATACCAGCCTGGCACACATGAGGTCCAAGGATCCATCCCTAGGACCACAAAACAAACTAGCTGGCTGTCTGGGCTACTTTTCTGTTGCTGAAGAGACACCATCACTAAAGCAACTAGCAAAAGAAAGCATTTAATTTGGGGCATGCTTACAGTTTCAGAGGGTGAATCCATGACCACCATGGTGGGGAAGAGCAAGGCAGCAGGCAGGCAAGCATGGTATTTCAGCAGCAGATGAGATGTTTTTTTTTAACGAGACAGGGTTTCTCCGTATTGTTTTGGAGGCTGTTGGTCCAGCCCAGCCTCGAACTCACAGAGATCCGCCTGCCTCTGCCTCCCGAGTGCTGTGATTAAAGGCATGCGCCACCACCGCTTGGCTAGCAGATGAGATCTTATGTCTTATCCACAAAGCACAAGGCAGACAGAAAGAGACTGGGCCTGACATGAGCTTTGGAAACCTCAAAGCCCATTCCAAGTGACACATCTCCAGCATCTTCCTAAAACAGTGAACCAACTAGGAACCAAGCCTTCAAATATATGAGCCTATGGGGGTCATTCTCATTCACACCACACCATCCTTGACACAGAGCTCTTATACAGAACCAGTGACATAGCTCAGTAGCAAAGGCACTTGTCACCAAGCCTGCCAACCTGAGTTTGATTCCCCAAATCCACACTGAAGGAGAGAGCCTACTTCTATAAGATGTCCTGACCTCCACTCTTGTGCATGCCACATGCATTCTCACTCCCATGCCCACCAACACACACACACACACACACACACACACACACACACACACACACACACACACACACACGACATGCACATGAAAATACACATAGAGAATACATAAAATGGAATAAAAGACGGATATTTAGCTAGATTTTTTTTTTTTTAAGACACAGTTTCTCTGTATTGCTTTGGAGGCTGTCCTGGAACTCACTCTGTAATCAGGCAGGTCTCTCGAACTCACAGAGATCCACCTGCCTCTGCCTCCTGAATGCTGGGATTAAAGGTGTGTGCCACCAACGGCCGGCCTTTATCTATATAAATATTTTTAAGTGAAAAAAATAAATTCATTAGCAATATTTTGTGGTGGTCCCTTGTCTCTCTGCTAAAAATTCTAAGATAACAAGGCAACCCAGCTGGAATTAATACCAATTCCAAATTAATAGAATTCTGGCTTAATTATATTTTACCATCACCAAAATAGACTTGAATACCAGAATAGCTTTGCTAAGGCAACAGCAGATGCAGACAGAACAATGACAAAGATTCCAGAAGTCCCTTGGCCTAACCACCCACTCTGCTTAATCAGATATTTCCCAACAAATCTCTCCTCAGCAGTTACAAAGCTGAGCAGCAAGGACAACCCAGGCCCTCTTCTGAAAGCCAGTGCCTGTCTGCCTCATCAGCTATGACCTGAAACTATATCTACTATCTCAGAGCAGCTCTGAGCTAGGCCCAAACAACACATACCCAAAGCCACCAGAAGATGATTACAGTAATCATGCCTCATGGTGTACTCGAGCCTCCCGACCCCCATTCCCATGAATAGCACCCTCCCAGCTCCCAGCCACAGGTTCTCTTCTACTCCAAACAAAAGACCACAGAACAGGGTCAACACTGTTTTCACTCTAAAGATGTTCACTGGCAGGAGGATAGAGACCACAGGTCAAATAGGACAAAAGAACAGCCACCTGGGAGTGCCTTCTGGGAATGATGCCTCATCAGACCAGAACACATACTACAGGGCTTGTCCATGGCCCAACCCTGGGGGGCTGACAGCTGCCAGAACTCCTCAAACATGCCATTCCTGGGGACCTGCTCAGAATTTGGGCACTTAATACACTGCACAGCGGCTGACTGCCCACACAAGAAGCCAGCATCCATAGCATCTTAAAGAAACTGCCACTATGTTTATAAACAGAGCAGCAGTAAGTAAATATTTATTATAAAGCAGCTAGCTACTAATAGAAAAAGGAAAAATTGAAAATTAAAAAGCAGAATACAAATACCATCATGCTAAGCTACTGTTAAGCAGTGGAAAGAAACACAAATAACTAGAAGAGCCCAACCACTAATAAGTAAGCAAGCTTGACGTTCACTACTGATGGAGCCACAGAAACAGGCACAAGCACCTGAGTCTCCACTGTTGTTGGCCTTAAAGACCAGGACCAGACTGTGACAGATTTGGGGTGAGACCTGGCTCATTAAGACCCTGTCCAATAACCTCTGCTTGACTGTAATTCCTTACAAGCCCTAGACAAACCAGCTTCAGCTGCATGAAATGCAGGTACCTCGCAACTGCTCCCTCATGTTTCATTTCTAACTCTGCTTGGCAATTTTTGAAAATCTTATTTCTTTCCTTGCTTCTACATTTCTATTCCTCTTTTAAGTCCTTGAACATAACTTTAATAACATTTTAGTGCCATGGGCTGTTAATTCCAGACTAGGCCTCCTTAGTCACTAGGGTGAGTGGGAGGATTGGTTGGTTGGATTTCAGTTTTGCTTGTTATCTGTGTTGGTCATAGGTCACATTTTTCCTGTTTCTTGGTATTGGATCTGAGACCTTGTGAATGTTCCCAGATTAGGTGTCTAGATTTTATTTTCTTCCTATTAAACAGATGAAACCTGTGGCCCAGTATGATCTTCTCAGGTTGTTTTTAAGTTCTGACTTTAAATGGCAGGAGAGATGGCTCAGCAGTTAAGACCACTGGCTGCTCTTTCAGGGGACCTGGGTTCAGTTCCAGTAACCACATGGTAGCTCACAACCATCCATAACTCCAGTTCCAGGGGATCTGACTTACTCTTTTGATCTCCTCCAGCACCAGGCATGCATATGTTAAATAGACGTACATGCAGGCAAGAGACCACACACACACACACACACACACACACACACACACACACACACACACACACTCTCTCTCTCTTAACAAAAAACAAAACAAAAACAAAAACAAAAACACCTCTGTCTTTTCTGTAGGGAGAACTTAGCCTGGGCCCTCTAGTTCTCTCCAAAAGTTGGACCTGTCTCCAGGGCTTTTTGCTCTGGCTGGTGGGCATCTGGACGCCTCTTCAGCCCAATGTAAGCTTGGGTACGTTGGCTAAGATGCCCAGCTGCTATTCACTGCAGGCATGCTCAGTTCAGAAAACAGTGAGAATCCAAGGGAACTGTGTGACTTGGGACCTCATTTCTAGGTTCACCAGGTTCACTTGGGCTCTCACAGCAGCACCAGTCTGTCTCCTCACCTCTAACTCAGGTGTACCGCCCAGAGGCCCATTGCTCCTCCAGGTTCCAAACTGTGCCTTGGAAAGCATGCTGGGTGAGGACAGGCATGCCAGATTCCTGTTCTCGGATAGGTGCTACTTTAGGAACCTTGGCAACAACTAGAGCTAAATATCTGATAACCACCAAAATAAGGGAGGAAGAGCACTTTCTGGAAGATGGTCAAGGAGGGCTCCAGGTGAACAGCTTTGTAGTTTCCAAAACAAAGTCCCTGGACAAAGCCTGTACTGAGAGGGAGCCCTGCCAGCCCTGTGCCCACTGCTGTTCTGGGTCCTGAACTGACCCCAGACGGGACTCAACTTTCAAGAACTACTGTTATTGCCAAGAAAGCCATGAAAAAGACTTAGGATTGAGAACATAGCTCAGTGCAAAGTACTAAGAGCCAAGATCACCCAAGACCCTCAAGTACAAATCCTAGCACCAGAGTGAAGAGAGATGGGCAGGTCCATGGGTAGAGCTCAGAGAATTTGTCTCAGTGATCTTGAGGACAAGCCTGAGTCTATAACCTCAAACTAAGATTAAAGAGCAGCACAATGTGGGCCCTTCACCCTTCACCTACAGCCACTGTGCAAGTAACAGTAACTACTGTTAAAGCTGTAGGACACTCTGGAGATGAGTAACCACGCAATACAAGGAAGGTCCTGCACAAATTCTTCTTGTTGGACCTACAAGGTAAGACATGCAAGGAGCTCCCAAAAAGCCAGCCTCATACGGAGTGGGGCCAGAACTAATGAGCTCCCGGGTTGCCTCTCCATGAGAACAAAGGCTTCAGGGCAGCCTTCTCCTGGGCATACCTGAGGCACTATATGAGGATGAGGATGGTGTCCTCCGGGAGAAGCTCTTGACTGCCAGGCTCTGGCCTCGCTGCTTCCGTCGCCATGCTGTACGGCACTTGGAGTCAATACTCTGCTTGATCCGATACCAGTCAGATTCTGTGATTCCAAACTTATAGAAGAGGTGACCTGAAAGAACATGTCCCAGATAAAAGCTATCAGACATAGGCTTTGACCTAACCCTTCCTGTTGAGAGCACCAAACACATAAGCTGAGTGCTGCTAAGAGGCCTAGCTGACCTGCTGGCATACTCCTGGAGGGCTGATTCATCCCCCAGAAAACAAGCCAGAAAATCTAGCTACATGAGGCAAGAATCACTCAGGTCACTAGGTCAGCAGGATCAGATGCAAAACACTTATCATTCTTCATGTTTATTTAACCTTTAAATAACCTGACTTCACCCCAATACCAAGGGAATTGACTCCATTTCTCACAGGTTCCAGACTCTTCAGCTTCCAACTTCTCTTGCCCTAAACTCAGAAGATGGCACACACCATCCTGACTGCCTAGGGAAACAAATGGAGGCTTCACACTGTACTCATGCAGGTCCACTACCCTCTGCTCCTCTGCTCCTCTGCTCCTCTGCTCCTCTGCTAGGTACACCCACCTCTGCCCAGACCAGCCAACAGTACTTTGTCCTCCCTCCTCCTCCAAAACTCCCCTCGGCACAGCACACCTGCTTTCTAGAGCACCCGTGACTTCTCTAAATGTATAGGATTCTCACACAGTGTTTACACACCCCTTTTCCCTTGTAAATGCAGGGAACCTGGTTTTGCTCTCTGTGCTGGCACTCCAGTACACAACAGCTCAGTGAGCGGCAGTTATCTGAAGCTATTTGGTCAGTGCTCTTTGTCAGATGCTTGCTCCTATGTTCTCACCAGGCTGTCTCCCAGAACTTAAGTTCCTGGAGCACAGGGACCACTCCCTGGAGTTGACTGTTGCCCTAGGGAAGAGTACTACCCACACCCCACTGCTGGGAGATGGGGTGGAAAGCCATACACATGGCATAGCACCTACTGGGACTCAAACTGTTCATCCTTATGTGTTCAGAGATGGCCAGGTGCAACACTGAACAGCATGCAGATACTGTCATTCAACAATAAGGAAATCAAAGACATAGAAGGCTACTAGAAACAGGACAGAATAGAGCTGACATTCCTCACATCTCACTAGTCCATGTGACACCACTCCCTTTTTTCTTTTTAGAACTCATTTTTCATATGGCCAATTAAAATTATGCTTATTAAATAATATGTGTGTTATTAGGGTGTGTGCATGCATGTGCACATGAGTGCAGATACCCACAGAGAGGTCAGAGTCATTGGATCTCCCAGAGCTGGAGCTACAGACAGTTGTGAGCCACTGGTGTGGGAGGCAGGAACCAAACTCAGGTCTTCTGAAGAGCAGTAACTGCTCGTAATCACTGAACCATGTATGCTTCTAGCCCATGAGCCTTTGTTATACCCAATGCAGAAGGGAAAAAATGGTGGTGGCTGACACCAAAAGACATTGTCTTCAACACAGTGACCTCTGTAGCTGGCTCATGCAACTTTACTGATTTACAGGAAAAAAAGTGTAAGAAATTCAAACTATAATAAAACCCTAAATTAGAAAATTTCCTGTTTTGACAAGTAAGACCACTGAGTTTGGATCATATACTGAGAGCTAAGTTAACACCCAAACTCCAAAACTGCTTCCATTGATACCAAATACAAGAAATAATAAAAACAAAGCCTTTAAATGCTGTATTAAGTATCGGGCATTAGGAAATGTCTTGACTGTTCTGTGAGTTTATGCTCAGAAAACAGTGACGGCCAGACCTCTGTGGTCTGGAAGGAGGCTGGACTACTGAGAATACCACATGGAGCCCAGCAGCACTTTCACCCTCCTCCACGAAAGAGAAATCTGGGTGCGAGCTGGAAACTCTGGTCACCTAAAACAGACACAGAATTATTACTCAATAAACCACTGAGCAACTACATGTGCTGCACATGGCTTTACGTGTGGATATGGGCCTCACTAAGTCACAGGATAGTTACCTGGCTACCAGTCAGTCACCACAGAACTTACTACTGACCAATTCTTATCTGATGCACATTTCAAAGTCTCGTAGAGTAAGAATGTCATTGCCCTTGTGACTGCTTTGAGACAGGAGACACTCTGTAAGGCCAGTCTCATAGTATAGCTTCTGACTACCCTGTGCATCCACCTTCATCACAGCTGAGGACCTCACTCGAAAGCTTTGGCGAGACTAACAAGAAAAGGCCTGCTGCCACACCTTGCTCAGAAGGCTGCCCTGAGGTCATGAAGTAGAGAACAGAAGCCTCCAGTTGCTGGCCTATGGGTCACCTGTTGCCCAAGGAGTGAAGCAATTACCTCACAGGAAGGCTAAGGTCAAGGGAATGCCTGCGCTTCAGGCTGTGGAAGGTGGCACAGCTTGCTCTCACCCACTTGTATTGGAGCCAGGAAGCATCACCCATCATTGTTAGCAGCTTTTCCACCCTCCAAAACTTCACCATTGCCTCTTAAAATCATGAAAGTAGCTTCCCAGCTCTCACGTAATGAGCCTACACAAAGCTAGGAGCTTTGGGAAAGGCAACAGACTAGGGGGGAACAAACAGAGCTGCCCTCGGTGGGTGCATGTCATGTTATCAGTCACAAAGGAAGGAGGGCACTATCACTGCTAAAGTAATCTCAAGTCCAAAGAGGAAACCATGCAGGAAGCTGCATGCCAAGAACTCATTTTTTCATATTACATAATAGCAGCTCTCCAGAAAAGCAATCGATTCCATCCATGGACAGAAGCACTAGGTTAGGGGGCACTCTGAACAGGTCTGTGCCCATCCAAGTCTCCTAAGGGAAGTCTCCCGGGCTTTCCCCAACTCATCCTTACAACTCCTCCTCCTCCTCTTAGTTTGTAATATTCGATAGCCGTTCTAGGCCAGGTCCACAGCACAATGTCCAATCCCTTCTGAGAAGAGGTCTCCCACCTGTCTCCAGAACTCATAAGTTCCTCAGCTATCAGCTCAAACTGACCAAATTGGAGCTCTCAGTATATCCCCAAACTCCTGCCAGGCCATGGCAGACCAATGTCACACCTATGCATGGCCTGGTATCCAAAACATATGAGCAGTTTTCCCAATCTACACTTAAGGACCTGGGAGGTGACAGCATTTGATTACTGAAGCTCAGAAAAGCCCATGTCCCTGTGCACTGATGGGAAGTGTCCCCCAAAATTCATGTTTTTCCTAAGACCTCCCAATGAGACCTCACTGGGAACCAGGGTCTTTGCAGATATGATTGAGGTTTTGGTTACATTAGTGGGATCTCACTCCAGTACAACTGATGTGCTTATAAGGAGAGAGGAGAAATAGATACAGACACCCAAAGAGGAAATGGCCAATGGAGGCAGGCAGCATCAGCAAGCACCAAAACTCCCAGCCAACACCAGAGGTAGAGGCAAAGTCCTTGTGGAGGAGGAGGAGGAGCTGCCCTACCGACATGTAGACCTTGCATCTGGGCCTGTGTTTCAATGCTCAGTCCATGAACTGAGCAACCCTAGGAACCCAATATACCCCATGATATACCAAGCCAGGGAGCTCCTTGGCTCACACAGAATGTGTTACCTGAAACTTATGACCAGGAAACTGCCTGCTCTAGGTAAGGGTGGTTTAGGAAAAGCCACTGCATGGGTGGTGGTGTACACACCTTTAATCCCAGCATTTGGGAGACAGAGAGAAGCAGATCTCTGTGAGTTAGAGGCCAGCCTGATCTACACAGCAAGACTGTCTCAGAAGAAGGAAAAAAGAAGAGTCACTACCGTCATCCATCTGCTGGTTATCTGTGAGTGTGCAGTTTTGTACACATTGGGAGTCTTCATTTAAAGCACTTTCAATGATCCTGGAGTACTCAGGGTCTCTTACCCAAACCAGCACTCTTTACAGATACCTTCAGGGATCAGATTTTCTCTCTCTCTCCCTCTCTCCCTCTCTCCCTCTCTCCCTCCCTCTCTCCCTCTCTCCCTCTCTCCCTCTCCCTCTCCCTCTCCCTCTCCCTCTCCCTCTCCCTCTCTCTCTCTCTGTGTGTGTGTGTGTGTTCTGTCACCTGGCAGACTAGAGTATGCTCACTTCAAAGTTCAAGCAGAAACCTGGATGATCCACTAGTAAAACTCAACAGTTCAGCCAACATGCTCACTTGAAAGAGCACTATTCCATCCCCAGTTCATTCCCCAGGAAAACACTCAAAGCCATTCAAAGTCATACAACTGCTCTTCCTGCACATACCTCACTTAGCGACAAGACCACAGCTAACAGAACTAGCTGAATAAGGCCAGCAACAGGCAATATTATGAGACTCTGAATGTGTGGCAGAGCCCAAGTTTGGGGGTAATACTAGACAAGTAGAGGCTTAATGGTCAAAGGTGAACAATCATTTTTTAAACACTAATGATTCCATGTGAGCAATATCACAGTACCAACAGATGGGTTAAGAGGCTAGGTAGGTTTGGCCCCATCGGTAAGTAGCTTCTGAGGGTAGGACATCCAGACCCTGATGAGGGCCTACTCAGGTGGAAGAATGCCAGCAACTCACCAAGTTTCGGTTCCTAAAAAGCTAAGGCTAGTAGGGGGTCTGAGGCCATGGACCCATGGTCCTTATTAATAGCCTGTAATCCTTCCCTCACACATGGCTTACAAATTTGGCTGCCAAGTGAATACAAGTGCAGATCATGGTTTGGGGAAGGCAGCTACAGATGCCCATAGCCTTAGTGTCCTTTTCTTCCCAATCCACAAAGCCCTGGAATTAGGCCATGGTGTCTAAATATGGAGCACACTGACCCAACCCTCTGAAGCTCCAAGGCAAGTCTCTCTTTCTAACGAAGGTATCAAATACTTATCTTCTGTGGGATATTTGATAGAGCTGTGGCTCCTCTGGCCCCAGTACTTCCCCATGTGTCAGGCTCCTTGGTAAGAACAAAGCAGCTGCCCCTCTAGGATGATGGAAAAGCCAAAGGTGTGGCCCCAGTGACACTAAACACACAACCAGCCCAAGAATCACCCTGCATATGAGCAGAGACCACCCCTGGCCAGTTTATTCCAGGTAGCTCTGGAATGAACCGTCTAGGAAGTTGGGCATCAGACTGGGTCGCTGATAAGAGGAGCCTGAGCTTCTTCCATGCTTTCCAAGTATCTCCAGGAAGATACACAGACCACCAGCTTGAGCAAGTGGTATTCCTCAAATAGGAGGAAAACACCAAGATCATGTTGGTACTAAAATCGGTCCTAGAATGCTACTGGCCTCCAATACAGTCAGATCAGCCCATGAGCATGTCACAGTGCCAAGGGCAAGACCTCCCTGAACAGACTCCACTCATGCCACTGGGCAGCTTAGGAGCACTGTGGCCAGTGGGCAGCAAGAAATCCCACCTCTGTTCTCTCTTCTTCAAGAACAGCCTAAGGATGACTGACACTGGAATCTGCAACTCCCTGGAAAAGCACATTCCAAGTGTCCCTCTCAGCACAGGGTGCCACACAACATCTTGCCAAAGAAAATCCTGGGTCCAGATCCATATCTCTGTGATGACCACTGAGCCTGGCATCAGCCCTCCGCACTGGAAACATGGTCTAAATTCAGCTCCCTGACCACCTCAGCACCCCCACAAGCTAGGCTGTTATCAGCTGTGTAAACTTACACCGGATGCCATAGATAGTGAGGGGGTCCAACTGCTTCTTCCCGTGCTTGCCCTGGCCCGACAAGTTGGACACAGCCTGAACCTCTCGGTGGAACAGGTAGTCCAGCAGCGTCAATGCCATCTTCTCAGCTGTGCGACAGTTAGTGCTGATGTGCAGCATGTCAGAGGGGATGATAGCACAACGTACCCGCATCTCAGGGTTATTCTCATCACCCAGCCAGGTGCCATTGGGATAGTCCTCTGGAAGAGAAGAAAGGTCTCAGTTAGCAAAGCTCAGAGACCTGTTCAGACAGCACAGAACACAGCTCAAATATAAGTTGCCTGGGGCTGCTAAGCCAAGCTCCCAGCCTCCATCTGGTTGCCAGGAACACCAGAGATGAGATGTAGTCACTGGTGTTAGCCAGTAGCAGCCTCAAGCCATCCTGATTGTAGAAGAAAACATCAAACAAAATTTGAGATCAAATGACAGGAGCCCTTGGATAACTAAAAGCAAAATATTAAAGGGGAATATGCTGGTGACACAGAGTCCAAATATTGCCAGTCTGCGGGATCTATAGACCCAAGTCATCTTTGACCACACTCCAATCCGTGTGGTGTATACCTCTTCCAGACAGCCTCTGCCAGATCCTTTTATCACAATACTGTTTTAAAACATCACAGGGATAGCTGGGCATGGTGGCACATGCCTTTAATCCCAGCACTCTGGAGGCAGAGGTAGGTGGATCTCTGTGAGATCAAAGTCAACCCAGTCTACAGAGCTAGTTCCAGGACAGCCAGAGCTGTTATACAGAGAAACCCTGTCTTGAAAAAAGGAGGGAGGGAGGAGAAAGAGAAGGAGGGAAGGGGGGGAGGGGATAGAGGGAGGGAGGGAGGGAAGGAGGGAGATCATGAGGAGACATGCTAGCAGGGTGGAGAATGGGCATGAGCACTCAGCTGTGGCTAATGATGGAGATAAATGAACTTTGGAATTCAGAACAAGATGAATAAATAAGTAGAGAGATGGTTCTCAGAGACAGATCCTGTTCTAAAAGTCCCCCAGTCATCTAATCATCTAATGCATATATTTTAAAAAAAAATCCTTGGAGGCTTGAGGCAGGCAAGTTATGAGATCCAGACCAGCATAGGCTACACAAGGAGACCCAATCTTAACAAAAAACAACAAAACAAAAGTGGACATGATCTAAAGATATATCACTAAACTAAATCACAAACTGTGGGTGTACAGACCCCTCTTAAGCAAGAAGCTTAACTGAGCTAAGCAAGAAACACAGGTGGCAGCAAGTGTGGCAAGCAAACAGAAGCGTACTACTGTGGGGACAGGAAAATCATCTTAGGTCAAGAGAGACTTAGGCCTGCTGTCATTCAGTGATACAGGTGACAAGCAGGAGGAGAACTGCCACCCAATGAGCCAGACTGGCTCACTCAGTGCATTAGCTTCCACAAACACACAGATCTGATGCCCTCTGACTTCCGGGCAGGCTACAGCAGAGTCCAGGTTCCCAATGGCAACACAGATGCCCCTCGTTCCCTAGTCAAGAGCACCAGTCACACTTGTGGTTTTCCTAAGCCATTCTTGGGGCTATGCTGAAGTCCTGGATGCCAATGACATTTGCCATTCTCCAGTAAGGGGAGGGGGGAACGGGGAGAGGCTAGAGAAGATGTGATCCAGGGTTAGCTTCAGGGCTATTCAAATACACTACAGATTTCAGGTCAAATTAGCTATCTGAGGCCAACCTCGGCCTCCTATAGGCAACATTTTAGACAACAGACTTGTAGTCATAAGCTAGTGTTAAGTATATTTTCCATCCATATGAAAAATTAATTCCCATCTGGCATCTGTAATGAACTACAGAAATGATCCCGAAAATATAGTCTTCAATTCTGGCACTTGTAAAGCCAACCCATACAGTTTACCAAATTAAGGCACATGCTTCATGAGACACTAGTGGTTCTGAAAATGAAAATAACTAGAATGAAGTCCCCTGGAACTTACCAGACAAGAAACAAGAGTCAGCATCCACAGCTTTCCAGGCCACACTGACATACAATGCCTAGGATGTTTTCAACCACCCAAGGGCTGATCATATTTATTTAACCTAGTTCTTCCAGCAAGTGGGCCAGAGTTTCTTTGTAGTCCAGAAAATACCTTATTCTTGTGTATTTATAAGTATTTGTACCCCCAAAGGGGTCCAGGAGCACCCATGGAATACAGAGCCACATCTGTGTCCGCACACCCATCCTTAATGTTCTGACATAATCCCCATCCACATTAGATGGCTAGGTATCTAACTAATGTTCCATATGGGAAAGGGAGCAGAAAGGCAAGGTGGCATATGCCTTGAACCAAAGGAAGGCCAGCCACATGCTAGAGGACAACTATAACAGCCAAAAGCTACTTCTATGGCACAGAAATGGAAAACTTTGGAAATTCATCCCATAAATTACAAATTTCAATTTTGAAACGGCATAATCCACCATTTTCTTTTCAAAAAGTCTTTTGGTATATATGATTTTTATTTCATTTTTCTTTTTTAGTAAACTATTTTATATCAACAATTCTATTATATAGTTGTGGCTTCTAACCAGACGCACAAATATTCCTTAACATATGAAAACTAACCACAACTAAGAAGGGCTATTACCCTATACCATGTGGTCATTCCACAAGCACGACCCATGCATCTCAGAGGTTGGTCACAATAAAAGAAAACAAAGCAAAAATTAAGTTGCAGGCCCCTTGGAGCCTGCCCAGGCTGCCACTAGCTTCTGAGTGCAGGGACCTAAAGGTTATTTGTCACAGGAGGTGTCAGTAAGTCCTGACTGATCAGCAGAATGTGGCATAGAAGCATACTTGCAGAAACCACGGGCTGAAGAGGGGGCATTCTGAACCAGTGGTGACACAATACTTGCGCATGGTAATTAAGTGTTCAGCATTTTACATGGAGGATTAGTAGCCTGTCCTCTGGGAATTACCAAACGCCCATAGTGTGGGAATGGAACCTCAACTAAGTCCCTTAATTAACAGATCCTGTTTTGATTCGTTTAGCTAATTTGTATCTGTCACACAGCCAACTTAGCCTCTGAATGACTATGGCCCTCACATTCTCAAGAATGGGGTACAGGAAGACATGGGCAAAAACTAGCTTTAGCAAGTGCTGCTCCAACAATTAGGAGACACCTTCTATTTCATCCAAACTAAGTTTACATAACTTAACAAACTACCTAAGTAAAAACCTAAAATACAATGTACGGACAGGCCTATCGTCCCAGCTACTTCAATGGCTAAGGCAGTAGGACTGAAATCTCAAGGCCTATCATTCCTGGGCTGCAGAGCAAATTCAAGGCCAGTCTGGACAACGTGATGAGATACTGCCTCAACATAAAGAAGGGATATAGCTCAGTGGTAGAGTACTTGCCAAGCATACATAGGCCCTAGGTCCAATCCCCAGCACCCTAAAAACAAAGCAAACCAGGAAATGGTGCCCTTGTAGTATAACCAACTGACTTCAAATTTTATAGAAAAAAAATTGGATTTTTGGACCTTTTTTGTTGTTTGTTTTGAGACAGGGTTTCTCTGTAGTTTTGGAGCCTGTCCTGGAACTCACCCTGTAGACCAGGCTGGCCTTGAACTCACAGAGATCCACCTGCCTCTGCCTCCCAAGTGTTGGGATCAAAGGCATGCGCCACCATCGCCTGGCTTTCAAAAAAATTTTTTTTGGAATTCTTAAGCAATAACTGCTTCAAAGTCTGGTTCTCCAAACCTCAGACACACAAATACTCACATAAGAAGACAAGAAGCATCTGTTAGTTTACAGTCTTGGCTCTTAATGGGACAAAGACTAAATCCTATAAGCTTATCATCTATAACACCCCATATCAATAATGCTTCTATGACATGAGCCATATGGCCTGCTGAGCAAACAGACAAGACCATGGCTGCGTGCCACAGGTTAGAGGCCAGTACTGTCAGGACTAGTGAGCAATGAGTCTGAAGTGAGACACATTCCTGCTTGGAAGTCCTCCTAGCACTTCAATGTGCAACAATCACTTAATAATGATGCCACCTGTCTCCAGACACGCCTTAGAAAACCACTGTGCCAGCACATGGCTCAGCAGGATCATTTACTAATAAGACACTGTGACCTACATTTCCCAAAGAACAAGAAAGTCAAACAATTCTGAACTATGACCTCTTCTTCAAAAGTAAAACCATGAGTGGAGGAATGCCAAGTCCTAGCATTGGAGAATGGAGATTCCTGGAGCTGTCCACCAACATCATGACTGTGGACACATGCAGCTTTTAGTGTGACTCTGACACTGCTCAAAGCCTCTACTAACAACACAGCTCACTCAGAGACTCTGAACTCAGACATGTTTCTGTTCCTCCTTAGGACACTAATAACAAAGCATATGCCAAGCATGATTCCTTTTCCTGAGTTCATTTCAACATAATCTGCTATTTTCCCAAATGTATGTCACAGTGATCACATCACAAAGTCAGATTCAAAGGGGAAAATTCTATTCTTAAGATAATTTAGACTTCCCAGATTAAAGAGAATATATTCCTTAGGGGTCTATACCAGGCCTAAGCAGCTGACCAGACCAACACCAGAACTTGCATGGCTCCCATAGGAAAGAAAGGAGATCAGTCAGGCTCCTTTGCTATTATAGGCATGGTCCTTATGCAACTTTCTTGAAGAAGGAATGATTGGCACCTTTCTCCTCAGTTAGTGTTAAAACAGCCAGCTGTCCTGGCCTTGAGTCCGCATAGATGCCAAAACTTACACACAAGTGTTCACACTTCACAATGTGTAACACCCAAAAGCAGAAAAGATCCAAATGCCTGTCAACCAACAATGTCACACAAGGGCAAGTCTGAAGTCTGGGCCATGCAGTCCCTGTCATACAAAGAGAGGGCTGGAGTATGCAGCATGCAGTCTTTGTTATATGTGGGGAGAGTCAGGGTATGGGGAATGCAGTCCCTGCCATACAAGGGAGAAGCACTGCTAACATAGCCACCCCCACCGCCTGTGTGCATAAGGACAGGACCAGAGCACAGGGAATGCAGTTCCTCTCCCTACAGGGGAGGGCAGGACCAACCACGGCCTTCCACCTCACAATCAGTGCTCACAGGAACTCCCATCCACACGAGAGCATCAGCAGCAAAAAGGGATGGGTGGGAGAGTGAGGAGGACTACTAACTGATTTGAGGTTTCTTCGAGGGGGTGATAAAAAAAATTCTAGATTTAGATAGAAGTGACATTGTAGAAACATATGGATACACTAACCCAGTCTCTGTTATTCTAACAGAAACAACAGTTTCTAAAGTGGAAAGCTTTCAGAGGATTCAGTCCATAGTCACCAGGCCCCACTATGGGTACCCCAAGAAACCATGACAGACCCCAGCACTTGCTCCTCTTGACTCCTTGAAGATCCCCAGTGCAAAGGCAGCCCAGCCCAAGGAGACTGCACTCCCTTAAGTCTGGCAATATCCTCTGGAAACTGCAAAGAAATGCTTAGGATAGTGAGAGGCTACTGGTGCATGACCATAAGCTACTCCTCCTCAGGAAGCAGACCATCTAAGAAGGCACTCCATAAGTGACACTGAAATCACTCTGGAAACCCCAACTAACATGGAAGAAATCGATTTCTGTGTAGGCAGGGAAAAGCAAGCATAAAGTCAACAGAACATGAGAAAGACTCATGTGGTGGAAGCCACAGTGGGCTTCCCAGTCACCTTAACCTTCTTCATCCCTTCTGTATCACTCTTCTTATCAACAAAAAGCTACATGCCCTTCCAAAGTAACAGCACAAAGGCACAGTAATTATGGCTGTGCTGACAAGCAGAGCAGCCCTGGTAACGCACCTTCAGAGTTCAGAGTGATGAGTGTGACGTTGCTTCCAATGTTCTGGCTTCCTGGCTGGCCGCAGTTAGACACGGAGTCACTGGCCTCTGACCCGCTCTCCCCATCTTCATTGTGGCTGTCATCCTGACCTGGTACCTTCACCACGATGGTGTTCTGCCGACGCCCAGGAACAGCGCTGGCGGGAAACAAACACAGCAGCCCACGCTGTGAGAGGGACATGAGTGGCACACTGAGACTATCCCTGACTCACTGTGCTGTGTGGACTTATCCCAAAATGCCTAGTTGAGCATGGACCAATGCACAAGGTGGGTCCCCCAACATGCGGTGTGTCCCCACACACACCCTCCATGGAGATGAGTAGCAACATAACACAGAAACAGTCCTAGGCCAAGAAGACACATAATATAAAGTAACTGCTTAAAAATATGAACAGCAAAAAATAAATAAAATCATAACTCACTGAAACTCAGCTTAGAATCCTGCTTTCGGATCTCAGAGATCATCCTAACTAACAAGGCTGATTTGCACAATGGTCATTATGTGTCAAAGAACCCCCATCCATCCATCCATCATCCATGCTGTCAGACACCCAAGGTGACTCAGCCTCCAAAACACCTCCACACTCTCCATGACTCCCACAAACAAATCCTAGGAACAGCTTCCAAGGCCATCAAGAATGCCAGGAGTCCCCTGGGAGTCATTCTTGGTACCGGGCCCTGAAAAGCAGCAGCAGCCAACAGCCAGCAGCAGAAATTGCTCAAAAAAGACCCAAGATTGATTTGTCTTCTGAATGACCCTGTCAACATTTTGGACTGTGACCTATTACACACTACATATGAAACAAAACTCTATTTCCCACCAGCAACGTCACAGGGGCTTTAAAATTCTAGTTATCCCCAGAGGCAGAAGAAGCCACACCAGGTCCTTCCTGGATGTGACCCCATACAACTATCCATGGTGAACTGGCTCCTCAACAATCCACACCCATGACCTCACTGCAAGCCTGGAAACCCATCCTCTCCCCAGCAGCCTGGCTGGCCTCCAGCACCCCCACATCACACCCCAGACCTCCTGTTTCCTAGAGAACTGGACCAGGACAAGATGCCAGAACAAGACTGGAAAGAGCCACACCCCAGAGAGAAAAAGCATGACAGGAATCTGTGAGTACACTGCTAGTAACCAAAAGGTGACAAAGCCTTCCTGAGGCACAGAGCCAGAGCCAATGGGCAGAGGCCACCGACAGGACATGGCCATTGTATACTTTCATTTTTGACTGAAGTTCCATTTGACACATCTCAAAAGAAAAGGCAAAAGAAAAAAAAGCCACAAACTCAACATAGCTCCATCATTTACCAAACTCAGAAGAGGATCAACTGCAGGGACAGACAGACAGATGGGAGTGGCAAACTGACCATGTGCAATACTCTGGCATCTTCACACAGCAGACCTAGCCCAGAGGTTCTCATAGCTGCCACCCCCTATGCTCTCTCACCCCACCATCACTAAACACCAGGCTGGCCCTCCCTAATGTAAAAACTATAGTGATTGCTAACAGAATCAGCCCTGTAACCACAGACATGGACATGTGCTCAGACTGCGCCCTGGCTCAGGGATGCTCATTTATCCTCATGACAGTGGCAAGGGAAGGTGGGGTGGTGGTGGCTACTGACTTGCTAATGATATTTTCCAGGGAATCCGGTGCCCTGTTGCTCAATGGGTCTTCCATCTTGGCTACAATGGCGTTCTGCCGATCATTGTTGAGTATTACTGTAGTCTGGGGGACGACGCTATGGAACAAAAGAATCACAAGAAAAAGAAGACCTTAAAACAACAACATTCATTGTCAGAGCACATCGTCATTCAACACGGTCAGCTTCCAGGGCCTGCACCAGAGAGCAGGGTTCCAGTCAAGGGCAAGTAAACTGGAGATGGGACTCTTCAGTTCCTTGCTGGTCAGTATTCTTGGTTGACACAAATGGCATAATGAGGGCAGGCTGGGCTGTGGACATTTAACAGAGTGGGTAGGACAGGCTAAGACACTCTCCTGTCCTATGCACCTGCAAGCCATCTCAGCAACAGGTTTACATGAAAATCAGTTTCCTTTTCTTTTTTTTTCACGTGCGAGCGTGTGCGTGCGTGCGTGCGTGTATGTGTGTACAATATGCATGTGAGCTACAGGACATTGAGAATCTTCCTCTACTATTCTCTGCCTTAATGGTTCGAAACAGTCTATCACTGAATGGTAAAAAGTAGTCTGTTCAGCTAGGCTGGCAGATCAGCAAGCTCAGGGATCTGTCTGTCCCCAAACCCCCAGCACTGGGCTTACAAGAAATGTACAGCTATGTCTGGCTTTGTACAAGGGTTTTAGGGGCTTAAACTCAGATCTTCAAGCTTGCAGAAGCATGAGCCCCCCAGTCTGGCTCAACCCCATCCCTCCCAAACAATGACAAGGCATGAAGGTCTCACAGCAGCCTTCCTCAATATTATTCTACAGCAAAGGGAAATATGTACACACACCACCCACAGCCCTCTGCACAATGCAGGACCAAAACAAGAGGCCTTGAGGTTTGGCTTTGAGAAAAATGTCTAAGAAAAAAATGGGACATGGTCCAGGAACCACCAGGCTCAGCAACACCCTGAAGGCAGCACTAGGGTGCAAATGAACAGGACCAGCAACTGGCTCTCAAGAGACTTTTTCACACTGCAGTCACCATGTCAACTTTTAGCACTTCACGGCACAGGGTTATCTGTGCGCTCTGCTCTGAAGAGCAAGAACTGCCACTTGATACAGCCAGTTATATTACTTGAAAGCCCAGCATCCTTGCTCAGAGGAAAGGGTGTTCCATACACATGAAAACCAGCCATCTGCCATGGTCATTGGCATCTCCATAAACCATTGTACCCACACCAACAGCAGCATGTAAAGTCCAACACATGCCCAGAACCCACAGCTGATTTTCTAAAATGCAAGTGTTAAGTACATACATGGCATTCGCTTTTGTTTCTCAGCCATTCTACTTATTCTCTGATACACCTACAGTTGCCCACCAAACCATGATTAAGTGTCCACAGGGATCCAAAGTAACCCTGGAGATCTCTGCCTGCTGCTAAGGTCCTGTGAGGCCTCCAACATTCACACTCCTAAAATAAATAAAGCACATAAGATCTGACACATACACGTTTACACAAACAGCCATGTGCACACATAAGCCCCACACACTCACATGAAGTAATTATAGGGAGGACACAGTCTTGTGAACACTGTTGCCAGCTGTGAAGCCTGTGTAGCCTGCACCCAATGCAAAAGCAGCAAATAACCCTGAAACAAAGCATGAGTAAGACTGCAAGTCCTCAGATGTCACCATTTCCACCTGTGCACCTGTGTGGCTCAGGGCAGAGGGGTCTCCTACACAGGTCCAAATAATGTCCCTTGCTGGGTACTGGTGGCGCACGTCTTTAATTCCAGCATTCGGAAGGCAGATGCAGGCGGATCTGTGAGGCTGAGAGCTAGTTCAGGACAGCCTCCAAAGCCACAGTGAAACCCTACCTCAAAAAACAAACAAACAAACAAATAATATCCCTTTCACAGAAACAGAACTTGCTCTGCCACCTCCTGGGATCTCTCTAGAGAACTATCTGTATCTGGTCTTCAAGAATGCTATATAAATGGACTTGTAGGCCATCCACAGCAGCAGCTCAAAATTGTTGCTTCTGTGGCTGTGGGTGGTCCCACAGCATGACAGTGTTAATCAGTCTTGTACACTGAAAGTAGAGTACTCATAGGTTTCTGCATGACCACAAACTCCTGCACCTTGGTCATGAGCAAAAATGGTCCTAAGCACAACTAGTGGGCCATGTAGGAAATCTGGCTATGCTGCTGCCCACCTGGAAGCTCCTGCCTCTCCACATTTCTTCCAACATCAAAGGTTGTCATCATCATTTTTTTCATCTGACAGGGCACAAGGTTCCCCTTGGTTCTGACTGGTATATCCTAGTGGTCAAGAAGCTGAGGACTTGCAGGTATCCTCAGGTCAGTCTCCTCACAGTAACTCGGTGGTTCATTTACTGCTGAGTTTAGAGCATTCTGGCCTCGGAACATCTTCATCTGTCTGTGCTAGTCTTTCTATGCTCTTCTCAGCTTTCCCAGGTCAACCCGGCTTCCTTCCTAAAACAAATGTACTCAGGGGCTGGAGATACACCACAAAGATAGAATGTCTGCCTAGTATGTGCCTGATTTCATGGCAGTGTTAGAGGTGAATTTAGAAATGAGCAACCACCGGGAAAGTGAAACGCAAAAGATTTATGGGAGGGGATGGAGTCATGACTCTTTCAGGACACAAGATTAGTTCCCTGCACCCACACCAAGTGGCTCCCAATTGCCTATAACTCCCGCTCCAGAGGAGTCAACACCCTCTTCTAGCTTTAGAAAGGCGCGTGCGCGCACACACACACACTCATACAAAGACCACACACATACATGTAAATAATTTTTTTTAAGATTTATAGAAACGGGATGCAGTTCAGTCAGTAGCGAGCTTGCCTAGCATGTACACAGTTCTGAGTTTAAGCCCCAGCACCTCATAAACCAGGCATGGTGAGTACCTGTAACCACAACACTCAGGAGGTGGAGGCAGGAGCAGTCAGAGGCCAGTCTAGGATACATAAGACCCTGTCTCAAAAAAAGGAGACTGGATTGCATATAAATTATGAAGTACTTAGAAATAACAAGATATATACAAAAGCTTATGGGAGAAACTAAAAACCTGACACACAGATAAAAGAGATCCACTCTGTTCGTAAAACAACCTTGGATGGTCATAACAACTCTTTCCAGAGCAACCAGGAGTAGGCAAAGAACATGAGTTCTGCAGGTGCTGGAGAAGTCCTCTGAGCTGTCACAATACTCACAAGCTAGCAAGACGGTTCACTTTGCTGTATTGGCTTTGGGGGCTGGGGCATGTCTCTGAGTCAGCAGGGTTTGCTAAGGACTCCCCAAACTTCATATGTGAACTGGTGCCCCAATGGTTAATACCCAGCCCTGACGTGTACAGAGGAACGTGTATAGCTGTGCAAAGCAGCACAGACCAGACAGGAAGATCAGGCATGACATTAAACAGAAACATACAGAACTCAAAATTAGATAAGAAGTAAACAAGCCCATCACTGTCAAAAGACCAGACACTCCACAGTCAAACAGCCCTATCTTGATCCTACCACACTCTGGCCTAAGAGTAGATAGAGGCTTCTGAGAATGCTGACGACCCCAAAGCAGAGGTTCCCACAGCACTCACAGAAGAGATGCTCAGCAGAAGACCAGCTCTCCAAGATGCAGGTAAGCTGGGAGTCAGATCAGCTTCACTGTGATCTTCCTTCAATGCTAAACAAAAGAACCCTAGGAACTAAGAGCAGGCAGCCAGATTGCTAGAGGGAGTTTAAACCATTCTCCATCACACACTTCAAGTCTCTAAAGTCAGTTCAGAGAGAGACAAAAGAATTCTCCAGGAAGTTTTGTACAACTGCCCCAAGGGAAGCTTTAAATCACTTTTTTAAAACTCTGATAACCACTATTATAAAAAACCTTTCATTCATTGTGACTGGTTTTTTGTTTGTTTGCTTTATGTGTGTATCTTAGTTGGCTTTGCTTTTGATACATAGTCTCATGTAGGCCTCAAGTTCACTGTGTATTTAAGATAACCTTAAACTTCTGATCCTCTGGTTTGTACCTCTGAGCATGGAGATGACAGGTATATGCTACCACATTGGGTTTACACAGTGCTGGCGATTGAACCCTTACCCACTAAACTACCTCTCCAATCCTAAAACATTTTTAAACCTTTAAAAGCAAAAACCCTAAAACACTGTCCTATGTAATAGTCTTAGTGAAAAACAAACAGAAATACCTGGTTTTAAAAGTTGTTATCAAGCAATATGGTTGTACAAGACAACCCTGAAGGTAACACACTGTCACTGTCTGGGTACTGCCTGCATAGCTCCTGGCTGGCATCTGCAATGAACCAACACTTTCTGCTCAGCTATGCTATCCACCGCAGGCTTCCTTCACCAACCATGTCTAGCTGCAGAGAAGAGCAGGAAGGCACCTTGTTCGCCGTCTGTATAAAGATACCTAAGCTGGCCCCTGAGACCTTCTGGTCAGGCAACACATTACTGGCGCCTTATTGGAATGCTTCAAGCCCAGCATTAAAGGCTGGCTCAGCAAATCACAGGCTTCCACAAGTAGATGCTTCCAGACCTACTGTTTTCCAAACATCTTCAACATTAAAATTCCTCATTACCATCCCTATAAGCACAACTATTCAAAGTCCAATGGCATACCTGCAAGAGAGACACAAGCCAGCCGTCCATCTCTGGAAGTCAAATGCCACTGCTGTATGAAACCCCATCCCTATAACCTCACAAACATTTTTATCGTGATTAAGCTTTGGCATCAAAGAAAACAGGCCTTCTTTTATTTTTTTTTTCTTGAATTTACTCATTCAGGTACAGAATCTGAAAATCTGGACCCAGTGCCAGCTGAGGCTGGCAGTGTTCCAGGGCCTTCTGTCTGCCAAGCAGCACCAACAATTAGATGAGCACCCTTGGAGCCCACAGCAGTTTCAACCTGTCCAGCCAAGTGTCAAATGACCAGCACTGGGCACAGACTCCCAGAGCAAAGAGAGGGCCTTGAGAAGTGCCTCCTGCTATATCTAGACCTCTGCAGCTCTGCAAATGGGAGACAGTGTCCTCAGGGATGGGCTCTGGGCTCTCTACAGGCCTCCTTAAGGCTCTATGGCTGATGATGGCACCTGAGTTAGCCTGCGAGTTGCACTCACAGCCAGCAAGTAGTAGCCCTAGGTAAACAGAGCACAGTAGCTTATCATTTGGTATGATACTGCCTTTTAGCTGTCTCTAGAACCAGTTTATGCCCCCCTTTTAGCTGTTTCTAGAAACCAGTCTGTGCCCCGCTGCCCAGGTTCTGTGTAGACAATTCTCATTTCTTCTGTGTCTGTACACCAATGACTTCATCCATCTTTCACTAAATCCTGGGATTCAGCTCTCATCCTCCAGGCTGCTCTCGTGTTTTCTGTTAACAGCCTTCTACAAAACATGACCCCTGTCACCACCACACCCAAGTAGTACCCCAGCTCTCCATCTTTCTAATGAGGAAACTGGGCCTTGGAAATAAATATTTGGAACCTGAGACATCCAAAAAGGTGATCCTGACACCCAGTGCTCCCAGACAGAATTCCCAAGCATGTGCCCTTGAGGCTAGGCCACGAAAACCCCTCTTCCACTCCAGGTCTTCCCATAACCTGGCAGAACTAGAACAGAGAAAATGATGTGGTCAATGCTTTTCTGGCTCCTGAAGACAGCCTGTTCCAGGAGAAATAAGGAGTGAGGTGTTATCCCCTTATGACGCAAGAGAATCCTTGCCCTTTGTGTCCCTCTGAAGACATTGGTGCTATTTGGTGCAGGTCCAGAAGCTCGGGAATCAGTGTGACAGACATGGCTACCATGTGAGATTGTACCAGAGTCTAAGTGTGGCCAAATAGGCTGAAGTGCCAGAAACAAGCTCATCTAACACAAAACCCTCCCACACATATGTTCCAGGTCCTGAGCACTCACATGAGGACCATGTGTCCCATGTAGAATTCAGACATAAGATACTCTTTCACAGTTTTAATGTAACTTGAACTTTACAGGAACTCAACTACCATGTCCATCTAGAAAATGGCACAAAGAATTCACCATTCTGAACATTCCATTGCCAACTAATGGCATCTACAACCAAAACCTCACAGCAGAGGAGACACTCCAGGCTTATGTCTGCCACCCATCGTGTGCTGAAGCCCAGATTTTACCATGTGCTGCTGTTCTTCCACACTGCCCTCTCGTGAGGCAGGCCACTCCACTAACTCTTACAGCAGTGTTTCCCAACATTATGTTCGGGGACAGAGGAGCATTTCAAAATTAACTGCCTTAAGAGGCAGCTGTCACTTTGCGACCTTAACAGAGAGTCTGCGCAGACACTGGCGAGGTGTGCAGCCACTTCAGTCACAAGAGAAACTCTGCCCCCTTTGAGAAACTAGACACCCAAATTCCTCATGATAGAGGGGGTAAGAGTGAAGATGGTGTGCTCTTGAGAGCTAGAGGAGGCAATGAGTGGCTGCCCAGCAGCCCTCATTAGAAAGAGGACAAGTAGTCACTAGTACTCCTAAGCACCCCAAAACCAAAGTAACCCCTACTCTATTTTCCCACATGCCCCTTAAAGTCCACAAGGTATCTACTGCTGCTCTATAGTTACCAGTACCCATGGGCAAGGTGGCATCCAGCAACCACCCACACTGCAGCAAAACCACTTGTGTCCCCCTAGGCTTGCTGTGGCTCCCACTGCCATCCTACTGCTCTGTTCTTCCCAAGCCCAACAGGCAAGAGGATGTGGACCTTGGAGCACAAAGATAACACTGTGCCCACTACCACAAGCAGACTTTCTACTAGACATTGTAAGAAAGAATAAAAACAGCGGGAGCACTGGGTAGGTGTTGCTGCCCTGAAGGCTCTCATGCCCCACTGACTATGGACCCAGATATTGGAAGGATACCTTCTGAGGCACCTTCCGATCCCTAGTACGAAGCCAAGCATGAAACTTCCACGCCAGCAGAGTACAAACCATACAAAGCTCTCTAGGAGGCTACAAACCGTCTATTTAAAAATTAGGAACAATGTAAGGCTCAGACTTAGCCAAAAGTTTGCTATGATCAAGTGAAATTTATAAATGCCACCCCTGAGGAAAAGGTAGGCAATGACCAGCCAGAGGTTGGAAAAGAAAAGAAGCAACACATGGGCCAAGTTCACAGCCAGGTGTAAAGAAAGATGAGTCTGTCTGTTCAAGCCAAGAAGAAAGTCGGAGTGACTCAGGTTGTTCCAGCACAGAGCCTGTGTTTGGTTTCGGTCTAAGTGAAACCAGCACTATGGAACCACCAGGGCAGATATCTGGGGCTAGGGCAGATCAGTAACAGTGGCGCCTGGGTTGGCACAGGAGCACTTTTCCCAGGGTGGCCTGTGTAGCCTTGGCTCTTCCATACTCACCATCTCACTTTGTTGCAGGTCTGGGTGGCGCCAAGTGGGGAACCAGCCACCATAGGGACCTGGATAGGACTGTGCTGTTTGTTGGTGACCAGGTCTAGCTTCTCTTCCAGAGATTTGCAAGTAGCCTCGAGAGCTTGCAGCTTGGCCTCGATGCTATCCAACCGCAAACATATCGTCTGGTTAATAGAGTACAGGAAAGACTGGAAGTGAAAACAAAAAAGCTTCAGAGAAGGTGTCTTACACTAGGAGGGGCAAGTCCACGGACCCTAAACAGCTGGCTCCTAACCCCACCCAATCTAGCCCTGGGCCATGCCCAGGTATTTGGTGAGGAGTCCTGGGCAGTGCCTAGGTGTTCAGTGAGAAGTCCTGCCCCCTGTATCAAACAAGACCTTTTACAATCTCACCTACACTAAGGCCATACAGTAATAAGCTTGTCATTGTGTTCATCAGTAGATTCACATATTAAAACTACAAAATCTTTCTTATGATGACAGATTATAACTAGCATCCAAGCAGCCTAGCAAACATAGGCCCTGCACACTCACAGTGTATCCAGTCGTTATCAAAAAAATTGGCTGGACACAGGTACACCCCACTGAAATCTGGTAACGACCCCTTCCAAGGATCTTCTAAATAACGAGCATGCCACCTAGTGGCCCACAAAAGGAGCAGCTTCCAACTACTCAGTTGAAACCAGCATCCAGCCAGAGAGAAAAGGCTTCGCGCTCCCTCAACTGCCAGTCCTGTCAGGAGCCACCAGATGCATGGCACATAAGAATTCTACTGTGAAGAGACCTCTAGGCCAACATTCAGGGTGCTGGCTTATGACAGGAAATGTAGGAATAAGGCCAGCAACATCTGAAGAAAACAGAATGAGGATTCGACTGGAGGAAATGTAGCCTTAGGGACACATCAGAAGGAAGGTGCAAGTCTGCAAGACAGAGGCACCAGCTCAGGCTGACCCTGGACCTCAGAGACTGTCTCTTTGCACATGGTCCAAGCTAGTAGGGGCCGGTCTCTGCTCTAATTTGAAAGGCAACTGCAGAACACTATCAAAATCACAGTTGCAGAAGCATACAGCATATCACCAAAGAAGCAAAGCATGAATGCATGGGTCCAGAGCATTCTGACCAGGAACCTTGGCTCTTAAGAACCCTGAGCTTGCCGGGCATTGGTGGCCCACGCCTTTAATCCCAGCACTCAGGAGGCAGAAGCAGGCTCATCTCTGTGAGTTCGAGGCCAGCCTGGTCTACAGAGAAAGTTCCAGGACAACCTCCAAAACAATACAGAGAAACCCTGTCTCAAAAAACCATAAGAAAAGTACCCTGAGCTTGCTCTATTCCCTACTATGCCAGCAGTTAGGAGCAGCCTCAGGAATGTCCTATACACCCAAAGCTCTCACATCTACCTCCACTCATCACAGCACAGCAACACTAGTTAGGAAAAGGTGTACGAGAGAAACTTGACCTCCCCTGCTAACCACTCTCCACAGAAGCAAGCACCAAGGCTGTGTGCAGGAAGAAACAAGCAGCAGCACTGCACTCATCTCCAAGTATCCCGGCCATCAATGGAGGCAATGTCAACAGCACAGGCACTAAGGTGGCCAGTTCTTGAGACGAGACCATGAATCACTATTTTTATAATTGGAGGATATCAACTATTTGCCTTCCAAGTTCTTTTAAGAGTTAAACCTTTATTTTAACTCTGAATGAATAATGTTCTATCTGGAGTTTGGGTGAAGAAAAAAAAAAATCACTATTCCAGACTAATGTCTCAAGCAAATCACAAAGAAAGAGAGGAAATAATATTTTCCTAACACTGCTCCACAAGTGAGGATGACCACAAAGAGCTCCAACATGCCTGCTGAGAGTTCAAGCTGGCAATGTGCATGTGAATGTCTTCCAATCACTGACAGCACATGGCTGCATGTGACAGTATGCATATAAAGTGTACTGCTAACATCACCACCAGATCCCAGGCAGCTACTTCCCTTCCTGCTTGGTCTGTCTCTGTTTACAAATGTGCTCTGTCATACAACTAAGATCACACTTTACTTTGAAATCTGGATTTCACTGAACAGATTTTACTTTTTTTTTTAGACAGGGTTTCTCCAGGTAGCCCTAGCTTCCATGGAACTTGCTATGTAGAACTCAGAGATTACCTGCTTCTGCCTCCTGAGGGCTGGAATTAAAGGTGTGCACCATCACTCTTGGTCTGAGTAGATATTTCAGTTCCCCTGCAGCTGCTACCACTTCTCCTTACAGAGGGAACTGAGCATCTCAAGCAGATGCCCTTGACACAGTGGAAGCATATGAAGAGGACTGGTGGTGTCTCTGAGTCGCTCTTGTAAATGTCTCCTGTGCTAATACTTACATCTGATTCTGCAGGCACTGAGTCCCAAATAAGCAAATCCAAAAGCAATTAATTCACTGACTGACTGAGGGCCTCCAACCGCAGTCAGAAACCTAAGGACCTGGGGTCATAGCGACCCTCAGCTTTCCCCACCTGAGGCAGGCCTATGCACACACAGAAAGACACCTCATTTGTCCTCCCAATCTAATGCTTCCTCCTTTCGTCTTCAGGAGAACCTAGCTTGTGCTTTCATGTAGCATTTCAGTGGCATCTCCATGCTATAAAGTCCAGACCCTTACTGTGGTGTCAACTAGAAAGAGGGTCTTTGCAGATGTATTTAAATAAATGAGATCATGCGCGCCTGAGTGAGAATAGGTCTCAGACACAGACTGTAGCAACAAGGCTGGGACAACCTAGAGATCATAGCACAGAAGAGGCAGGAAGAGCCTCCCCTGGAATCCCAGAGGCATGGATGGCCCTGCCACTCTAGGGATGGAGAGAGTCGGTTCTGCTGTTCTAAGCCCAAGTTCATGGTAGAAAATTGACATAGTGCACACAGGACCCACATGGTACCTTTATAGAGGGATCTTGGCAATTGATCTCTAGTCGCTGGCGCTTCAAAGCAGGTTCATCATCATCTGTCACGACATGATTCTCCAAAACAACTGAAAAGCAACCAGAGACAGAAACTAGAGTGAGCATGGAGGGATCCTCAGGGCTCTTTAAAACTACAGCCAAGCACAGTGCTGGCACCTTAAGTACTTTGTTAAAATTCTCAAAAACATCAGACCGACCAATCAATGCTCTGCAGAGCCCAGGAAGCAACCTCACACTAAACCTTCATCTGTGACTTCTCACCAGCTTTATGTAGTGTCTGCTAGCTAACTCATTGCAAAATCAAAAGCATCCTCACTTAGCCTTTGGTCCTGGGCCCACTCCCAACATGGGGCTGAGAGGCACATATGTACTGACAGCCACAACTCTCTCTGCACACCATATATGCCCCAAACTAGCACAGCCAACACGCTGGGTCATGTGAAAGCTGCAGCTGCTCATGAGCCACCACCAGCAGCTCCTGCTGACCTTCCAGACCTGCTTTCAGATAAGCAAAGTAACCCCAACTCCAGCCTCTGCAGTCAAGGAGCAGCAACACCACTGTGACCCATCTAGTCCTTTTCTCTACACAGAAGCAATCTCTCTCTCTCTCTCTCTCTCTCTCTCTCTCTCGTCTCTGTCTATCTATCTACCTATCTATCAATATTTATTTGGGGTTTTTCAAGACAGGGTTTGTCTGTGTAGCTCTGGCTGTCCTGGCACTCACTCTGTAGACCAGGCTGGCCTTGAACTCACAGAGATCCTCCTGCCTCTGCCTCCTAAGTGCTGGGATTAAAGGCATGCGCCACCACCCCTGAGCTATCAATCATTTTCTTAAGATTTATCTTTATTTATGTATATACATCTATGTAAATATATGCCACATGGGAGGTACTCTCAAAAGCCAGAAAAGGGCATCAGATTTCCTGGAGTTACAGATGGTGGTAAATTGTCTAGCCTAAGAACAGAGCACAGGTCCTCTGGAAAAGAAGACATACTCTCAATTGCTAAGCCACTGATCTGGCCTGACACAAGTCACCATCATAGATCTACTAATTTATAATCATAGAATTCTGTGGTCAGCATTTTTTTACTGACCATTATTTTATGCCTGTGCACTTCTCCAGCCTCTGTGTGCTCACTCACTTTGGAGAGGACAAGATTCTACCATCTGCAGATCTGTGTGAGACTTGTCTCCACTCTTAGCGACACACCACATTCCTCTAGGGCAATGGCCTAAACTCCTTTTTGCAGAAATGGATGTGTGTGCACATTACATGTATACACAAGCAACAAATCTGCTATTCTAAAACAGTGCAGGCAAAGGTTTTACAGATGATGCTCCCCAGAAGTCTTAAGTTCAGATTATCACTCCTGTAGTCTCCTTAAAACAGATGCTTGGCTAAGGTTTATCACCATAAAGAAAATGGCTGGCCTTAGCAGTTAGGGATATCTGTTTTCAAGCAGTCAGTATAGGAATGAGATGATATGGCTTTTCTGGAAAATCTATTAGTGACTTACCAAAATGTTACATGCACACAGCAGCTCTACTCTGGGAACTGACCCTGCAAAAATATTTGTCCAGATGTATATGCAAGACCTTCCCTCCCAGACTCCATAAAGAAGAGAAGCAGTGCAAAACATAGCAAACAGCATCTGGGGCACTCAGTAAACTAGGGTAAGCCTAGGAAAAGAGCCACAGAACCACGTTTACCAGCCCTCTAGAGTAAGAATGCATGGCCCACACTGCAGTATGAGTTGTATAGCAGAAGGTGTGGTGAATTAAGAGCCACAGGTCCCACACGTGGCAGGAGCATCAGAAGGCATCATGGGACAGGTGGCAAGTACACAAGGGAAAGGGGTGCTGGGCATGAGCAACTGCACTGCTGGGAACAGACCTGAGGGTCAGGCTAGAGGAAGAACAAAGTGCTGTGGGGGTATGTGCGTCTGCGTGTGTGCGTGCGTGCGTGCAAGCTGCCATCATTGTTGTTGTCTGCTTTACTGAGGAAACAAAGCCCAGCAATGTGGTTCTTGCTACCAAGATAGGGAGAACAACAGTTCATCTACTGTCTCACAGCTCTACCTGGGTGGTCAGGACTCAGGTCTTCCACTGCAATCTGAACCACATCCGCCAGGTCCTGTTCTGACATCATCCAGAACACGAGAAGACGGGCACACCAATAAGCAAGAATCCAGAAGTCTTGGGGTATGCACTTTCTGTCACCTGCAAAACAAATGCCAAGAACCACAAAGGAAGATTAAGAGTCACGGTGTAGAGCAGATCACTAGCCCTATGAGACCAAGTCTGCAGGTGCTTCACTACAGGGCTCTGCTTGTTTTCTGAGCACTCAAAAAATTCTCAGAAACATAAATAACTGCTGCTTTTTCCCTTTTAAAAAGAAAATGTGAAGGGATGGCCCCAATTGAAAGCCTCACTTACCCACTCACTCCCCATGTGACCTCCAAACACACCTTCCTAAGCAGGACTGGAGTCCTCGTATCAAGCCTAGCATCTCCAGTGGGCCCCAGATGCCTACAGAAGCACTCTGTCAATCACTACCTGCAACCCAGGGTGCCTCAGCCTCTTCAGTGACTACCACATCCCAAAGAACCAACCAGTGTCATAGCGGCATGGCCCTCCGGACAACCCGACCCCAAGGACTTCCCCTAGCAGATCCATCTGTGACTTTCTCCAGCTCCTGTGCCATTTTGAATAAGCCACCAGAGACCTTAGGTCAACACGAAAGTAAGGTCAGGTCCATCAACACAGATCTAAATAAACAGTTGCAAATCAACAGCTACAGAAAGACCAAAATAGAACTCAAAAGCAAACAAACACAACAGGTAAAGTCATAAAAACAAATAGGAACCCAAGGGAGTAAAAGGGACTAAAGGGAATGTTCAAAAATACAATACAGAAGACAAGTGAAGAAGACGCAACAGGTGTACTGGGAGACAAGAGGAGCAAGGACAACAAAATGGGATCTCAGAACTGTCACTCAGAGTCTCCCAGGGATAGGGCACAGCCAAGTGAAACAGCTACAAGACCCTGGCTTCCACAGCCAGGACAGAAAGAAGGAAAGGGGCTCCTGAAAGTGGCAGTGGGCTAGCAGATGCTGAAACAGTTTATTAAAAGAGTACACCAGATACCTAGAAGGAGAAGAATTTTCCCTTATACATCCAAGCAAAAGACTAGACGGCTTACAACACAAAGGGAATTCAATCAAACCAGTCAAAAGAAAGTGGATAAAAATAGTTAAGATACTATATAGGAGGGGCTGGAGAGAGAGCTAAGCATTTAAATTACTGCTCTTCCAGAGAACCCCAGTTCCACCCCCAGTACCCACAAGGCAACTCACAACCATCTTTAACTTCAATTCTAGGGGATCTGACATCCACTTCTGGCCTCTCGTGGTACTGCATGCACATGGTGGCCAGGTATACATGCAGACAAAAGACTCATATATACAATAAAATAAAATGATACTATGAGAAAGAAATGTGAGCCAAGAGTTTCATATCTAAATAAAAATTACTATGTGAAGACAGTACTTTGATCCTCATACAATGTCTAGGAACAGCACCCCCATACACAAACCCATTGTAAGTGACTCTGCAAAAAATTGGGGGGGCACGCCTTTAATCCCAGCACTGGGAGGCAGGGACAGACGGATTTCTGAGTTCCAAGACAGCCTGGTCTACAGAATGAGTTCCAGGACAGCCAGGGCTACACAGAGAAACCCTGACCCCAAAAAACATACATGAATGAATGAATGAATCAATGAATGAATGGAGAGTCCACAAAAAAATTTTTTTAACCAAAATCAGTAGAAAAGTCAGTCAGCTGAGGGTACTGGGCACTGTGAGGGAGACTGAGAGAGGGAAGACGCCCCCCCCAATAATAACAACTGTTTCAAATGGGAGAACACAACTACAAAATAAATTATAACCATCTTCAGCAGCTGTTTTAAGGGGCACCGGGAGTTCCTGCTGAGCAGCTGAGGATGTCTTGCTTAACACTGACTGCTCAAAGCACTCCACTCCTGCTGAACACTCCTGAGAGTGGAGTAGCTGACACAGTGGTCAGAGTCAGAGAGTGATCAAGTTTATATCTAGGTACCACAATCGGAACAGGAAGGGCAAACTTGGGTGTGGGTATGTGTTGACATACTCTGCCCTGTCCAGGAAAGGGCAGCAGTGGGACCTGCAGCTGTGTGAGTGCCTGGAGCCTGGCTGTAGCACTGAAGGTTGAGTCCTCAACAGAAGGAAACCAGACTCCTTGAAGAAAGGGACAATTACACATTCCAGGCAAGAAACACAAGCTGAGCCCGGACTTGTCAGGTCACATGTAAGACCCTGTGAATACCAGTGGGTTCCCATCTGAAGGAGGCAGCCATCAGACTTCTAGAAAGAACACCACAAACACTGCTAGGCTCAATCTACATGATACACGACCAACTTTAAGGAGCTACTCAGAGCAAACATGAAAAGCTAACAGTCACCAAATGTAACAGTTGCAGTGGGTGAAGCTAAAACATGGACAGGTGCTCCACCTGCTGGGTAACTGGAAATATACATATCCAATGAGGCACTGGGCCCCAATAGCTTGCAGGGCCTTGGAGTGACTTCCTTGGACACAGGAACATTCCAGCATGAACATATATTGTGAGAAGATTCACTCAAAAAAGAGCCATAATGAACCCCAAGGTGGTATTTTTAGCAGCAGCAGAACAGCTGAGTAGTGGGATACCATGCCCTGTGCAAGGAGTGGCTCTGAGCACTGCCCTCTGGGAGCAGAAACGGAAGGAAAGGGGGAAGGAAAGGGGGTGGACTAGAAATGCACAGGACATGCAGAGTCAATGGCCTGAGACACATGGGCGGAAAGGAGACCACTCTATTTCTCCTCTTCTGTCCCTATTTCACCTCTAAAATATGCTTCTAAAAAGTGATCAGATACACACATTGACAGCATCAGGGCATTACTCTGCTGCCTTCAACCTCTGCCTAAGGACCGTTCCAGAGCCTGGGATCAGGTACAGCTCCCCTACGTAACAGTCCAGGGCCTCTGTGCCCACACTTCCCAAGGAGGAACTAGAAGTCTAGAGCTAAGACATAATGTACCTTGTGCCATACATAAACCCTCTCTTCTCACTTCCAAATGGAGAAGCAAAGACTATTAGAGGGATAAACATCAGCTCTGGGCAGAGGCAGTGATCTTCACATTCTTAAGCCGCCTGACTAAATTCAAATTCAGCACTAGACTGAAAACAACCTAGGTCTAGCAAATCCAAAGAACATATGCACTACAGATTCTTTTCCAGAAAAATGCAGACAGGCAAATCTTTGCAGTTTTCAAGGCTGAACAGATACTAGAATCACCAGTATGCCTGCCTCAGTATCCTAGGGAAGAAAGGTCACCAGACAGACTCAGCTTCCCAGCTTCACCTGCAGCAAGTGCAACTACACGACCCCTCCAATTCATGGCCGCCCACAAGACACATACACTCCAGGAGAATAATAAATGCTGCCCAATGTGAAATCATCAATTTAATTAACACAGCAAGGTTCTGTTTTGAGGAAGAAGCTTACTTGATTGCACGGCTTTTGTGCATGAACTTCATAGATGACAATGTCTGCTACAATGTCAAAACACTGGGCACGCCTACAAACCTACCCAAAGAGACACAAGTGCAGAAGCCTCTGGGAACCCCCAAGAGAGAACTGGCCTACAGCTTTGGCCTTCTCCAGGCCCAAACATGGAAACCCATGAAGAGCAAAGAGCTAGAAGAGAGAAGTCAGCTCCTCACAGATGTGGAGGGATCCCCTGGTCCTAGGCCACCTGCTATGGACAGCCTTGTCAGAAAGTAGGGTAGCTGCCTGATCTAAACCTGCTTACTCTGGCCCTGGTCGCCTACTCACAAATGGCCCTGCCCCGAAGATTCCATGAGCAGTGCCTGCCTTTACTAAGGGGCCAATGTAGGTGGCTTTCAAATGCCCAAATCCAGCATCTCCCTGCTTTCTAAAAGCTCTGCAAGTACTTAAGAAAACACTCTGAACTGGCCATAAAACCCTGAACTCTGACCTCCTCCAAACGAGGACACCACTGCCCTCCTAGTTATTTATCCAAATGCTTCTGTTGCCAGAACAAAAATGTTTAAAATTCTGCTAACACTGAAGGTTTCAATAGAAAAAACTAGGGCAAGAAGCCCAAGAAAACTGGAACAGAGAGTGGTACGCGTAGTTGCCATTTTGGCAAATTAGCCTTGCCGTTTCTCAGAAGGCCTGGGGAGAGTCCAGTCCTAATGTAATAAAACAGCTGGACTAAGACTAATGTTCACTAAAAACTCAGAATGCAATTACCAGTTAGAAGCCTGGAGCTCCCAGGGTGCAAGTGGAAAGAGGGCACTCCACCAAAGGCACAACCCTAGGCTCAGCAGGGTCCAGGAAGACGAGGGGCAGTCCATCCACATGTTAACATGAAGAATGATTTAACCATGCCACCCAATACACACACCATAGAAAGAGATGCAAGTGGAAAGTTCCAGGTCAGCGTGTAGGACAGTCGTTCTCTTCACAGGCACTGCATGTGTATGTCTTCCTACGCCTATGAGAGGTGCATAGCCACACATGGGGGTTTGGGATAGAACATTTCAGACCTAACTGACTCCCTAAGCAGAGGCAGAGATCGGGGTCTCCTTCCCCTTGGACTCTGTACTCCAAATTGTTTACTTTCCACACCACTTATTATTGCTTGCCTGTGACACAGCTTTTCTAGGTCAGAGTAATTCGGTGCAGTTAACACAAACATCAAATCACAATGGCAACTGAGACATTCTTCCCCCTGCTGAGTCTTGAACTCAGAGACCCAAGCCACTGATCTAATAATGTAGCATCTAGAGAGGCTTTCTTTAATCCATCTCAGTCAGGCCCCTACCCACCCCCGCCCAACACCACCACCACCACCCCCACTCCCCCCTACACCTTGATTGAACTCCCCAGAACTCCTGAACTGGCAAGTCACACTTCCTCTGCCCCCTTACCAGAACTCCAGACTGTCTTCCTTTCCTGCCCACTCCCAGGGCTCCCTCCAGGGTGCCAAGCGCTCTAGGGCACTCAGTGAAGTCACTGTTTCTGAGGCCTCTGAGTTTCACAGTCCTCCTTCCTACCAGGCTGCTCCAGCTCCAGGGCTTCTGGCTTCTCTCCCACAAGGCTCTCCACATGCCA